TGTCGTGTAGATTCTAATGATTGAATTTTTTATATGGCCTGTAGTGGTTAAAAGCCCTTTTTCTTCAACTATACTATAAAATTCCTTTTCTTATTCCTTTTGGTCTTTTGTATATTTCCTGTGTGATAATTAACTGTGCGACATTTTTTTGTTTTTTTTTTTTTTTTTTTTTTTTGCGGTTCAATACAGCAATTAAATGGAATTAATTTCGCTTAATAGATGGAGAATACTGTGAAATATGTCTCAGAGACATAGACAGACGCACAAAAAGGCTATTTATTCGTCACATCCTTCAAATGTGACGGAAGGGATGTGTTGGACCTTGTAATGGTCTTCTCCCCCTTCAACCAGCTTCTCCTTGAATTCCTTCTTCATCCATCTGAGATCCAATTCCTTTAGAGAAGAGATGTTTGTCAATCCATCAGGCAACCTCTCCAGCTTTGTGCAACGTTGGATCCATAGACGACGAAGACGAGGCATGGACCCTTCTTCCACCACCCACTCTTGTAGATTGTCTAGCCCCAATATTTGCAAGTAACGCAATTGCGGGAACCCTCTACTCGAACAGACCATTTTCCTTCCTATGAAACTATCGATCAAAAATGAAACTTTTTTTAAACTACGCATCTTCTCAAGAATGGGCATTGGATCCTCCTCTATTCTACAACCCCATAACGAAATAGACGCAATGTTGGGAGCGGATTGGAGTCCATTTGGTAACTTTTCCATCTTTATACCTATCAAACTTAGCCGGTGGAGACGAGCGAACCCTCCTATATCGACTTCAACTGGGTTATCAATCGGCTGGTGGCACAACTGAAAATCCTCCACAAGTTTCAGCGCAGTAACGAGAGATAAAGGTAAAATCTCCTCATTCGATGTTCCATAGACATCAATATGAAGTTGTCTAAGATTTCTCATATGGAGAAGGTCTTCCACTCTACAATGCTTTGTTGACAAGTTGATCAAAGTCTCCAACTTTACTAGACTTCCCATATCCAACTTTGTCTCTTCACTGAGTTCATAAGGCAACCAAAGGTAACTCAGATCCTTCATCCTCTTCAAGACATTGGGCACATGAACTTTTTGTCCAAAACTCCTCAAGTCCAAAAAGACCAACAACGACAGATTCCCAAGAGAAGATGGTACTTTTGATACATTAGTAGCAAATAAGCTCAAGTATCTCAAGTGAATGAGCTTTCCAATGCTCTTTGGTAACTTCCCTTGTCTAAATTGTGCTCCACAAAGACCTAATACCCTGAGTGATGATCGTAATCCTCCAAAGCTCAGAGCTGAATTCCATCGAGTGTTGTACCTTCGAGTGATACACAAAAGACTTCGTAACTCTGGGTTCCTTATTTGTTTTTGGTGAAATGTTCTTTGTTTACCATCATCTAAATCCATATGTATGGCAAGTCTGCGAGACCTATAGGCAGGTATCTGAGATGAAGCATTGGCGTTTGAGAATTGAGTCTCCGCACTAACAACTTCGAGGAAGTTCTCTTCTTTGGCTATCCACAGACACACATCTCGCATTACATCATGCACCCTAATTTTGAAAATTCTTGAACTCACCTCATGTCTCTTAGAGACTAAAACCATATTTCTCTTCACAAGCTCCTCAAGGTAGCCTTCTGCGGCATCTCGAATAGAACTATTAGTGCCTACTGACGATATTTCTATTATTCCTTCCCCAACCCAATATTGGTACAATATTTCTGTATATATCTCTTCATCTTCTGGAAAATGGGCCAAGTAAAGGAAGCAATGCTTTAGACGGAATGACAAATCTTCATAGCTCAACGACAACACTTGGAATGCTTTATTCTCGTTGTCGCCGGGGCTTATTCCTCTTATAATTTGAGATCCGATATTATCATGTACCCTTTTCCACTCGGATACTGTGCGTTTGGTGGATAACAAGCCACCTAGCATTTTGACCGACAAAGGTAATCCACCACAGCGTTTTATCATTTTCTCAACCTCTTCCTTCACTTCATTGATCTCAAACTCTGCACACAACCACAACACTTTACGGAAGTATGTTATCTATATTTTGTTGTTATACCTTAATGGAAGTACCGAAGTATGTTATCTAACATTACTACTAATATAAAAAAATTAATTGCTTAAAAAAATACAAAAACTTTCGATTCATCCGTTTTTATGAATGACAACATACCAATATCGTCTCTTCCCGAAATTGCGATCCGTTGTAACAGTTTCCAACTCTCTTCATGAGTTAAGCTTCTTGGTTTAAAAGTTTTACATCTTGGATCTGTATACGAAGCAACATCCTCATTTCGAGACGTGAGTAAGATTCTGCTACCTGACAAATACTTTTAGTTACACAATTGGCATAGCGAAATGTAAGGGTGGGCGCGGGTACTTGAAACCTGCGGGTTTTATCTTCATCCTATTTTCTGAGTACATGAGAAACATAGCAAACATTATGTTTTATGACTCATTAAATATATTATTCTCTTAAAAAACAGAGTTACCTGGTTTTTGAGTAAAAGCTGGCTTTATAAGGTCCCAATCTTCCTTACTCCAGATATCGTCGATGACAATCAGGCATTTATTGGTTTCAAGCATTTTGAAGAGTTCATCTTGTAGTCGCTCTTCAGACATTTGCTGAATCCTATGTTCCTCTTCTTTTGGCCAAAGATTCAATAAGATCTCTTGCCAAATATACTTTCGCCTACATTGTTTTGAAACACACACCCATGCAAACTTGTCAAAATAACCCCGAACCATGTCATGGTGAAAAACTTGTCTAGCTAGAGTGGTTTTCCCGATACCACCCATCCCACATATAGCAACCACTCGAATATTGACATTCTCCACCAAATGTCCCGTTAGTTCTTGAATGCTATGCTCTAACCCCACAAGATCACTTTCAGATTCATTAGGAAATGTTTGTCGACTCTTCTTTAACCTTTCCGATAAAGGCTTTGGAGGAATTCCATTGTCAACTATATATTGGATGCCAAGACATTGCATACTCTCCATTACCTTGGAGATCCTTGCAGTTATGCCTTTGATCTGCGAATCAGCCTTTATCCGATTCATCAGGTTGCAAGTACACTTAGTGAGACGCTCTATTATCCCTTTCTCATCCACAGACCTTTCTTTGAGAAGAAAGGCTTCGATAACATCCTCTGCATCATAGACAATCTCTTTGATCTCTTCCAAACAAAACCTCACCCTTTCGGTTGCGTGTTTCTTGGCATCTGCATCTTTAAGAAAACCCTTTAACCGTCCCACTTCATTTCGCAATTCTGTAGCTCGTTCATGGATTCCTGTAAACCGTTCGGATTCCCGAATCAGTAGATCCCACAACTTTTGCACTCCAAATGAGACAACTGCGTCGGCCATGGCTCACCTACAATCTTTAATCGTTAAAAAAAGATACCATAAAAAAAACTCAGATTTACTAATTTTAACGTAGTCCTTGTCAATATCTCTTTCTCGACCGTTATAATAAGCATCTGAACGTGATTCAGTGATATATTCACAGCACAATAACCTAACCGAAGCATCGATAGAAAAATCTCAACAACATAGTAAAATTTTGAGCCGAATTCAAATCACCGAGACAGAGACGAGAAGCGAAGTAGGGTTTTCCACGGAGAATTGGGGGAGGAAATGATCAGCGCCTTACCTCACAATCGGTGTAGCACTACTCAGTAGAAGCAGCTCTTTCTTCGTCAACTCTAGCAATCTTATCCAACCAATTATTTACAATTGACCGATAGAAGCAGCAATCGTCAATGCTAAACCCCACCTATCTTTAATCAATAAACCAATAATATGATGCCACGTGCCTAGTACAATATTAATAATATACATGTGAAGCCCAATTCTTGTAGACATAATTAGGCTTATGATATGGGCAGCTTTTCTTGCTTCGGCTCGAGGCCCATAAGAATACAGTCAACTTGACTTGGCTATCTCCCGTTGTGTCGACGTGTAATCGCCGCCATGGCGAAGAAGACGATTGGGAACAGTTTTGCCGCCATGGAAGCAGCTTCTTGCGATAGGGGCCATTTCTCACCTCTACCTCTCCTCTTACATCCAGCTCGTGAGTTTTCCTGCTCAGTGCTTTTTACTACGCTTGTTGTGTGATATGTTTCCGGGGTTGTTCTTTGTTGATTTCGGATTGTCAAGTGACCATCGGATTGAATGGAAGGCCTTTCCGTTTTCAGGCAATCTGTTCAAAGATTTAAGATATGCGATTGTTTCCGGTAGTTCCTAAAGTTTCTACGTCTTGATTTCGTTTGGATCTTTTTGGGCGGTGTTTGGTAGGGATTTGAAGCGAAGAGTGACACGATTCGATTCAATGCTGATATTCGCAGTCGAACCACGAAGGTCATTTAGGTCCTTCCAGTGATCCAGTCATTGGATACTACCGGCTGCTTAAGGATCCAGATAAGGTCTTCTTTTAGTATGGCCTCTTTTATTTTATTTTTTACATTCCCTCCTTTGACTAGAGGGTGTTAAAATGATTTTCACCTTGTTTCTGTGTTTCATTACGGTTTACCCAATTGCATTGTCGTTACGTGAATCTAAAGAGTAATCAGAGGTCTATTGGTAATGCTGGACTTCAGAAAGGGTTGATTGGTAATGTAATTTTATGTCTCCGGTAATCAATAAGGATGCCGCGTTTTTTTATAGGACTCATTAGATGCATTGATTGTTTTTTTTCGAATTCTAACTATCCAAAGTATTTATGGAATCTGAATAATGGACTTCTTTTGCTATGATTTTGCATCTTCTATACTGCAGTGTCCACCACTTTGATTGAGACCTTGCTTGATCTTGACCAGAAAATGGCAACAGGCAAATGGAAGTGTCCATCCTATTACCCTCACTTGTGACAAAAGAATCTTCTTATGAAAACAATTCATGTCAGCGTTTGTTAAACTTCAATGCAGTTAGCACTTCGGCAGATCTGCAGGAGGCTGAGGTAGGCTCTCGAGCTCCTTCTTGCCATTTTTTACTATAAACATTGTGCTCAATCCCCATGACTGGTGTATGTCAATATGGCAATGCAAGAACCAGACCCCTGCTCGTTAGACGGAAAGGAAAGTATCAGCAATATGGCATACGATGATGATGGCACTGATTATGGAATGAATGAGTACCTGGATTATCTGCAACGAACCTGATTGCAGCCCATCCTCCTACTGGAACTCCAATGGTGTTCATGTAAGGAGGATCCTCCAAATTAAATTGTGCTGTTCGTTGATCATAGTTTCCTGTACCATAACCAATAACATAAAAGCTGTGCCCATGAATATGAATTGGGTGATTCTCAGTTGTGAGTGTGCCGGTATTCTGGAAGATTAGCTGTATCTTGGTCCCGTATTCGAAAACTATAGCTCTTGTCCCATTTGCAGCTTGTGTGTCGTTGGGAATGTTATTGGGTGCCCCATTGACAAAGTCAGAGAATTTTTCTGGCACTCCTGGAAAATCTGTGGTGAAGTATCCATCCAGCTTCTTGTAATAAGCTTCCAGAATTGACACTTTAGGCTCAACGAAGCTGATGTTGTTCATGGAAGCTGCTAATCTTCCATTTTTGGGCCCCTGGCACTTATCCTTTGGATTTTCAGAGTTACACTTGTTTACATTTATCCCGATTGTGATGAAGAGATTGGCTTCAATATCTTTTGGAACATCAACTGTGTTCAGACTTCTCAGTCCATCCATGACGTTCTTAGCAGCGAGATTATCATTAAAATCTGGCAACTTAGCTGGTAATGTTAGAGTATTAGGCAGCGCACCCAAGTACTGTAAATAGGCTATTGCTGATGTGTTTTGGAATTTAATGTTCTTTCCAGACTCATAAGGGCCCATGGCAATGGAGTACTTCCCGATAGCCTGATCAGCTGTGACAAGAACATTCATGGTCTGTCCAGGCACCAACATCACACGCTCTGTGGTTAAGGGTTTGGTGTACTCACCATCTGCTTCCACTATTGTAAACCTGTGATTAGCAATGGTGAAGAAGCTCTCCATGTTTATGCCTGCGTTAATCAGCCTGAGCAGGTATGTCTTCCCCGGAACTATCTTAATCTCATACACGTCTGAAATAAAAACGGTTTAAGGATCAGTACATGCTCCCTCTGTCAAAGATCAAGTATGGAATTTCATTTTACATCACTTGCCATTAGAGGAACAATTGTAGTTAGGGCCTGGTTGACCATTAATTGTGAAAGCGTCTGCTGGAGGAGGAGGGCCTCCACTCTCCAATACATGTTGTTGGAGCTGTACTACGTCCTTAAGCCAGTACTCCCCTGAATTAATATTCAAATGGCATAAAAAGCTATGTCAAATCGAGTATTGTAAAACAACGCGATTACTAAGATCGGGTAATACATTTCATCAAGGTACCTAGGATGATTGTATTCTCCATAAATGGTTTCTTGAACGGGTAAGGAACACCTGCTTTAGGGTACACTACAAGGGAGCCATAAACTGTGGCCCTAAGCCATGAAACATGTGCATGCCAGAAGAAGGTGCCTTTTTGTTGTGTCAATGTGAAGTTGTATGTGAAACTCTGCCCACTCTGAATTGGGCATTGCGTTATGTAGGATGGACCATCATACCAACATGATAGTTTCTGCTTAACTCCATGCCTAAAAGTATTAAAACCAAAGTACATCAGTTGATTTATCCTTCTAACGGTTTATGCTTTATGTGCATGTTCATATTTGCATACCAGTGAATCGTCGTATTATACGGGGTCCTGTTGGTAACTGTAACAATAACTCTGTCATCTTCTTGAGCTCTGATCGCTGGACCAGGGAACTTCCCATTGATCGTCACAATCTCATTGGTCTGACATAGCCTGGTGAGTCTCATTGTTTGTACCTATTAGCAACAGAACCTAACCTTTTTTTAGTAAATAAATAATGGAATTTAAACACATGGAAGATAGAGTAAGAATGCATGCATAACATTTTCACATATTCCGGTATTCGGTTTGTTATTATCTTTTGCTGATACCTTGAAGTGGTAGAATCTAGTAGCACTGCTCCTCCCCGCAACAGTCATCACGTGAAGAAGGAACAAGAGAGGGATAAGATGGAGAAAGGACGGAATGGCTGGATTGGTCATCTTCATGAAAGAGAGAGATTTAAGGTGAAAGCTACCAATTCTGCAAACGGTACTTATAAGGTACGAAAGTGGAAAAAAGAGACTAATATAGTATAATAGTATTTAGAAAGCGGTCTCATGATTGGTGATAATAAGGTGTTGGGAGGGCGTGATTTGCTCCTTGACCCCAGCGTGAGAAGAAAGGATTTGGGCATCCACACGGGTTTCTTCCTTTCCAATTCAGTAAAGAAAATACATTTCGATGCACCAAACTCTCTGAGAAAACGCCAACACAGACAGAAACCTCTGATACCCACTTCTCCAAGCTCTGTGGAACTGAACTCGGTACGCATTTTCTGCTCTGTCTCGTTCATCAATCTCATTGAAAACTAGATTTGGTTTCGAGATTTGGCTTGCCTGGTGTATTGATTGTTACGCAAGGCGCATGATTCGCCATCATTAGGGAGCGTTGAGTCATTTATAGAGTGAAAAAAAAAATTAGAAGGGAAAAAAGGATTTTCCTTTCCATTACATCCACGGGGATGGGAATTAAAAAAAAAAAATGGAAGAAGACGTAAAAAGGGGTCGAGTGATGTGGTCGGGGAATTTGGATATCGACCGTGTCATCATCAAAGTTCGTGCACGCCTTCATTCCTTCACCCCGAAAATGTCTCGTTTTTGTGTTCGGAAAATGCATGCAAATTGCAAATGCCATCTCCCTTGCTTGAAACATTATGATGCGACTTGGTTTTTTTACCGACAAATCTTCCCCCTCCTCGAGTGTTGTCCTTCATACCACATTTTTCAGAGATATGAAAACCTAAATGTGTTGTTTGCATTCAGTGATCTTTTACAACGTCGAGTGGATCCTAATGATTGAATTTTATTAACATGTTCTGTAGCGGTCAAAAGCCTTTCTTCAACTATACTCTTAAAATTTCTTCTCTTTTGGTTATTTCCTTCTCCATATTCCTGTGATAATCAGCATTTCCCAGTTGCTAAACAATGGATTAGGTAAGGGCAAAAACAAAAAGGTTAGGTGTATTACATATGAATTGATGGTGTCGGTGTTTTCTTTTACGGGCATAATGCTTGTTACGAAGATCCGCAGCTAAACTATCGATATCTTTTTTTTTATTGGATGTGAAAATATTTATTACTTCATAATTTGTAAAAATATTACAACAAAATGTATATGATCTTTCAATTCACCAGTATACTCGATGAACCTACAAAACATCAATATCCATGTTAAAGCCTCATGACCGACGCCAACTGCGAGGCCCAAACCTTTCAGACGCAAAGGCCCATTGGGCCCAGAATCCTAAAGCGGGCTTTCAGCGGAAACCTCTAATCCAGGGTTTTCCCGTGAGGAATATGATCTTAGTGCTTTTATATTTAATCGGTTCGGTTATATTGTGGTTTATTATAAAACTTTTGTTAAGAAAATTTATGGTACGTCCAAAATATAATAATCCGTTGATTAAATATCCATTATGTGGACGCAATCATTAGAGATTTGATTAAAATACATCATCGCATACTAAATACCTAACATAGTGCCGTCACGGGGCCCATGTCACAATTGAAAATATGTTCCATTTTTTTTTACCAAGTAGAAACCAGATTAGCTTACCGACATATTCTATCTGATTGAATCTCTAATACTAAATCACAAAAAGTGAAGTAGAGAATAGTGGAGTGAGACCGGAAACATAATTACTTAAAATCAAAGCCTAAATGGCCAAATTAAATCTCACCTAACGGTCCAACCGCGGGCCACGCTCGCCAATGGATTCTTACTAAACAATATGGTGGATTTATCATTTACATTTACATTTACGTGGCCCCCCACCTAATCTCACATTTTAATCAAAAATTAATTTTTTTAAGAATATCAGCAACCACTAAACTTTTTTTTAATTAAATTTCGTTCTTTCATCAATTATCGTTTAATATAACGGTTGGATCATTTGTTTTGTTAAATTAATTCATTAATTGATGAAATAACCAAAACGGAGGCGCGTGGCGCGTGTACTCAAGTGCCTGAATTCCCTCCGAATAAAAGCCCCACTTCGAGGAGCCGTTGATGCTCCCTTTACACGCCACGTGTCCTCCAATCAAATCAAACGGCTCCCAGGTGAATCTATGGGCTAATCCGTGGACTCAAAATACGACAGGTGAGGTGACGCAAACGTCGTCGTTTGGAAGGAATTACGCATAGTTAGCGACTTGGCGTGCAAAAGGACACAACTAAGAAACGATAACTGAAGATTTCGATTCAAAAGCTTAATCCAAAAACAAAAACCCAGCAATCTCTGACACGATTTGCATACACCCCTCTTATCTTTCTTCACGATTTTTAACAGGTGTTCTGCGTCTGCCCTCTGCTTTATCAATCTCAATCCCTGGATTTTTGTCAGTTATGGGTTTGATCCCTTGTTGATTTCGGGGTTCTTGTAAGTTCTTCAAACTCTGTTGTCTTCTTCTGTTCATCAGTTGTTGTTGTTCTGAAAATTTTCTTCCTGTTTTAGTGCTGTTGGTTGGTGCCACAGTTCATCATCCGCTGCTTTCGTGTCGTGTCCGATTCTGGGTTTCATTAGCTTTGTCGGGTTTGTCGATGAATTTTCAGGCTTTCGATTCTGACCGAGTTTTGGTCATAATGCTATGATCATGACGGCGCGATGAACCCCTTTTTTGCTAATTTAGAACCATGCATTTTGCTGACTTTTGTTCCAATAGATTTAGGAATTAATTACGTGGTTCGCGAAAGCAGCATCAGATTCGGATGTTTGAAGTTTGTAGCTTCTGCTGTATTTCTGTGTGATTTCGGCGTTATGTTGGGAAAGGGAAAGTGGGATGTCTTCTCCGTCTTAGCATTATGTTCCAAACTTGCTACAATCATCCTGTAATGCAATTTCTGGTCGCTGTCTAAATTGATCGTGTTTTGCTCTGAAACCACGCTTGTATTCTCGTGTTTGATTCTTTTTTAAGAAAGTCTTATTTCTGGTATGATGGTTGGCCTCATTCCCATTTACATGAACGCGTTGCATTGATTCTTTTCCTTTTTTGGGGCCATATGAATGCATAGAATAGAACTTGCTCGGGCAGTATCGCCCTTTTTTTTTGGTGAATTTGCCGGAAAACGAGTAGTTTCTGAAGGTCAATCTTTGTTTGAAGTTAGGAGTTAAGAGGCAAATAGGAGAATGGTGAAGTGATGGCAGCAGCTGAAGCAAGAGCCGTGTGGCAGAGAGCGGTTAACCGTTGCTTTGTCCAAGAAGACGCTAAAAGAGCTCCCAAGTTAGCTTGCTGCCAGCCATCTTCGTCTGCTTCGGCTAAGCAGGTTGATTCTGGTTCTGGCTCTGCTGGAGTTCCTGATCCACGGGATCAATCTTCTGCATGCTTCATGCCTCTTAACCGAAACCATAGATTCCCAGATCTTTCCTCCGACACGAGATGGTGGGCTCAGATGAAACCCGGCTATGGAAACCAGAATGAACTGATGAGCCCATCAGAGGCTGATATCGACATTCCAGGAGAAGGGTCTGCAAGTTTACCAGCCAAGGACGACAGTTATTTTCTTCCGGAGATCGATCAGGACAGTGTCAGCTGCAAGAAGCGGAATCTTGAAACTGGAGAGACTGAAGGAAAGACTTTTACATGTGAGGACTTTCAAGAGTATATCGAGTCGATGGAAACGAGGGAAAGTTACGGTTTTGTTAACATCGGATACGAGTCTTCCGAAAAGTTCAATGAGCTCTCTTTTGATCTGGACTCGCCCTGGAATCTTTCGAGCGAGAAGGCTGAGCCATGGTGGCGGACTACAGATACAGATGAACTGGCCTCCTTTGTTGCACAAAAATCTCTAGACTATGTTGAGAACTGTGATCTACCTCCTCCGCAGAAAATGCACAAAGGGAGACACTCTTATAGTAGTCCACGTTATTTCGGCATTGATGGATTATCATCTGTGGATCGATCGCAGGCGGGTTATATCACTAACCCAACCGTTCAAGGCCATGGGCAACAGAGAGCCGGATTTGAGCAATCTAGCTCTGAAATATCATTCAGGTACTCAAACTGAAGCCTATACTCCTTCATTGTCGTTTGAATCCTCCTCAAGCTTCCTTGTAGAGATCTTGCTAAAGAATGTTTTTTTTTTCTTTTCTTTCAAAGCCTAATCTTTGTTTTGGAATGTGTAGCCATAAGACAAGCAGCCTCAAGGACAGAGCAGAGAAGCCATGGCAGGATTCATCAGAGTCTGGACTAAGCAAGGCAGAGCTATTACAAGCACTACGCCATTCTCAGACACGTGCAAGGGAAGCCGAGAAGGCGGCAAAAGAAGCATGCGAAGACAAAGATCATCTCGTGAAGATCTTGTTCAAACAAGCATACCAGCTTTTCGCCTACAAGCAGTGGTTCCAACTGCTTCAGCTTGAAGCTCTCTACCTACAGATAAAGAAGAAGAAGAAGAAGGGCAACAACACAGACCCATCAATGGAAAACCTTCCATGGATGCATAACGAAGCTGGAAAACAGAGGAGGCAATGGGAAAAGGACAACAGAGACAGAGGGTCTAAACAGAACTCCGATGTGACAAAGTATGCTGTTGCATTTGCGTTAGGGTTGCTGCTTGGATGGACGGTCGGATGGATGCTTCCATTCTAGAGATAGAGAGTGCGTGTGTGTGTTTCGTGTGAAGAACCCTCTTCATGTTGTCCAGATTGGCCTTTGAATGCCATTTCTCAAATTTGGTTTAATGGGTTTTTTATGTTGTAAGAATTTTGTTAATATTCTGTATAGATATGTAATGTTTATAGCTTTGATCTGTGTTCTGTGTTGTGTCTCTGTTCCTTTTTTTCTCTCCTTTTTTTATTTATTTTTTTCTGTATATTTTTTAGTACATATTAGCTTCTATGTTTTATTTATCGCCATTACTCCATTAGCGAAAAAATTTAAAAATAAATAAATAAGCAGTTCTCGAGAATTAATTAATATTTTGGGCTGAATATAAATTCGGGTATATATAAATTCGGGTCTGATGACCCGACCCGACTCTACCGGTTTCGCTCGGTCTGATCTTATTGTGTTTTGTTTTTTTTGTCTTCGAACCAGAAGCTATCGTTTCATTGCCATCGACGAGCTCGGAAACTTCGAAATCTCGGTATTGCAGAAGAAAACTGTGGGAGAGAGAAATCCTCAGTAAGAAAATGCCGATCATGGAGAGGCTGAGGATGTTCGTGGCGCAGGAGCCTGTTATTGCTGCTTCCTGCCTCATCGGCGGTGTCGGTAACCCTCTTCTTAACCCTAATCGGCCTGTCTTTATCCCCTCGTTCGCATATCAATTGAATCGAGTGAATTCTAGTTCTTTATTCGATCGCTTCGTGCTTGTGAACCCTTCTATGATCTAGGATCTGTGAACTGTACTTGTTTTGAGATTGACTTGAATCCTGGGACCCATTAAAGAGGATCTCGCGTTGCGATCGACGTAGCTTGGGGGGGGGGGGTTT